CTTTTAACAAACTCTTCAACATCACGATCAAGATTAGTCCAAAAAACATAGTATCTACATAATGATTTCATCCCCACTATCCCAGGATATTCAAAACTCTTTCTTTAAATTATCGGGAATAATATTTCTATTATTATAAAATAATAATCCTTCTTCGAATGAAATATTATCTTTAATTAATATAAAAAAAATTTTAAATCTCCGAATAATTGTTTATATTATCAATATGCCCATGATTTCTAATTAATTTAATGATCTCTTTCAGATTGCTATCATTGATCGTTTTACTTGAACTTTACTTCGAGTGAACGATAAATCTTCTATTAAATTTATTTTTACCTCTCTAATTTCATCTTCGAATTTTTTTAACTTCATTAATTTTTTCTCTCTCTACCCCCAAACGGGACAGAGCGTCGGCGCATCTGTTTTATTACCCGAATTATCTCATAGTCGTAATTTAGAAGCTTCGTCGCCCACCGTATTAAACGGTTATTTGTTATTTTATTTAGGTCTCTTTTATCACCTAAGATATATTTTAAAGGTCTATGATCTGTAATCAAAATAAAAGGTGATGCTAACATGATCGCCGAAGCCTCCTGATCAATGGTGGCGTAATTCTTTTCAGCCGCCGAAAGTGTCTCGATGCGTAAGCAATCGGTTTCTCCTGGCCAGTAAGAAATCGGTGTGCAATAACAGCTCCTTGACCATCTTCGGAAGCGTTACAAGAAATCACGACATGAATATAGGCTTAATAAAGAATTATTGTATCTTCTTTTGATAATTTTTTTTAACTCTATTAAATATTTCATTTTCTTTATCTGGCCAAAACCAACTCACATTTTTACTCGTTAGTCGGTGTAAAAGTGCACAAATAGAATGTAAATTTTTTATAAACGATTCGTGGTAATTTACCATTCCCAGAAATGAACGTAATTCTTTAACATTAGACGGTGTTTTACAATTTTTTATAGCATTATTCTTATCTTCTGTCGGGTATTTCCGAATTCGTCAATAACATGACCCTGACTTTTCTCCAATTTTAATTTAATCGGTCGTTGTTGTCTGTCCATCCTTATCAAATCTTCTTAATACTTCTTATAGATTAACTATATGATCCAAATTATTCTCACCTGCAATAATTACATCGTCTAAAATACTCTAACCATAGGAATTCCCTTTAATAGGTTTTGCATAAAGCGTTGAAATATTATCGGACACTAGTCAACCCAAAAAGGATTCTTTGGTATCGGTAATAACCGGCATAAGTCGAAATTACTAAAAGCTCCCTACATTCTGGACTAACTCCGAATTGTAAAAATGCATCTCTTAAATCTATCGTTGAAACTATTTTACCACCCGCAATCCTATTTGTCAAGTTGACGAAAGTTGGTAGTAAATCGTTATCTATCGCTAAATATTTGTTGATTGTTAAACGAAAGTATCTGTATATCCGAACGGCACCGGATTTCTTAAATATTAACCGTTAACGTAGCCCAAGTAATTGGATTTATTGTTGAATTCACCTTCTCTATAACGCCTTCGTCTAAAAGTCTGTCCAACTCAGCTTCAACGGTTCGACGCAACGGAAATGGAATTCTTCTAGAAGGTAGCGCAATTGACACTGTGTTTGGTTGTATCTTGATGACGGCTTCCTGTAATTTTATTTGCTAATTTTTTTTTTTAAACTTGGAGAAATTTTGAAACAATAGTATATAAACTGGAATCTTTTATATTTATATTATTAATTCGAACTTCTTCAGAAAGTTTTATATCAAATTCTCTAAGAAAGGGCATTCCAAAAATAAGGGAATTCTTAGACTACCCAAATAGGTAAAAATTTTGAAATATTCTTTACTTCGACTTCCACTAAACATTTACCTAATACTTCGATCTTGATATGATTATATCCTACTAATTTATAAGCAGATGATAATGGTGGTATGCCTATGCGACTCCAGGTAGCCTCATCTATCACACTACAAGCAGCGCCAGTATCAAATTCCATAGTAAGCTGCAGCCCATTCATCTTCGCATCGATTGTAGCTTTATTAGCAAAAGACAGGCGAGGTGTCTGTGGTAAAATCTTTTGTATAACATGCGTTCTACACTCTTTCGCTATGTGGTTTGTTTTTCCGCACTTAAAGCATATTACTTTTTTTTGGCTGAAATTAGGTTTAATTGATTTATAATTATTATGGATGAATTTATTAGCATAATTATTATTATTATTATTGAATTTATTAACGTCATTATAATTATTCCTAAAATAAGTATTTTTGGAACCTTGAATAGGCTTATTTTTAATTATTTTATTAACTTCTGTCAGGGTTTCCTTCTTCAATGAAGACAGCGATAGCTAGACGCACAGTATCTTCAAAAGTAATATTTCCTTCAGCATATTTTGACCGAAGGTCTTTGTCCAGCTCAGGTAACCCTTCTCCTAAGATGAATATATCTCTTAGAGTTCATCAACCGGTGATTTAAAATTACATAGAGCAAATGCTTTTTAATATGATTGAAAGATCGATAATATTGACGCTGTGCCGTATCTTAATGACCTTCCTAACGAATTGAACTGTCCTTTTCAGGAATTAATTTATTTTACTTTTATTTTTCTTTAAACAAATTGACACCGAAACTTTAATTAGTTTATTTATTTTTTTCTTAAACAAAAATTATATTTTTAACAAAATTATAAAAATTAAAATTACAATTTCAATAAAATTAAAAATTATTCCAAAAATTAAATAATAAAAAATTAAATTTTTTCAACAAAAAAAAATATTCTCGACTCACCATGAGTCTTCTCTTTCTTAAAACAAATAATTCCGCATATATTATAATATTAATCCGCGCTAACAAAAATATAAAATCATTTTATGACAAAAAAAATAAACAACAACAATAATATTATGACAGTTTCAATGCCTCTTTTTAAAGTATAAAAAATATTGCGATATAAAAAAATATTCGAAAAATCTGTAAATATTTTTTCTAAATTGTCAAGTAAAATTGGGTAATTTAAGTTATCTAGGTTATTAGGGAAGTAAAAATTTTTAATTTTAATTAAATTATCAGTGCCTATTAGTGTTGTCAATTAGTCGAGTTCTTTCGACTACTATTAGTCGTAGTCATGGAAATATAGTCGACTAAAACAACTAATATAGTCGACTAAAACGACTAACATAGTCGACTAAAATGACTAATTTAGTCGACTAAAACGACTAATTTAGTCGACTAAAACGACTAATATAGTCGACTAAAACAACTAATTTAGTCGACTAAAACGACTAATTTAGTCGACTAAGTTGATTTTTTTAGTTAGCAGCATATATAGGTAAAGGTAAAAATATATATCGTAAACATATTAAGTTAAAATTTCAGTGAAGATGTACCATACAAAAGTGACAATTGTCATAATCGTTATTTTTGAACTTTTTTGAATTTTTTCAAAGCAAATAGGTAAAAATATATATTGTAAAGATGTTAAAATAAAATTTCAGTGAAGATGTACAATAGAAAGGTGACAATTGTCATAATCGTTATTTTTGAACTTTTTTGAATTTTTTTAAAGTAAATAGGTAAAAATATATATTGTAAAGATATTAAAATAAAATTTCAGTGAAGATGTACCATAGAAAGGTGACAATTGTCATAATCGTTATTTTTGAACTTTTTTGAATTTTTTTAAAGTAAATAGGTAAAAATATATATTGTAAAGATGTTAAAATAAAATTTCAGTGAAGATGTACCATAGATAGGTGACAATTGTCATAATCGTTATTTGTGAACTTTTTTGAATTTTTTTAAAGTAAATAGGTAAAAATATATATTGTAAAGATGTTAAAATAAAATTTCAGTGAAGATGTACCATAGAAAGGTGACAATTGTCATAATCGTTATTTTTGGACTTTTTTGAATTTTTTTAAAGTAAATAGGTAAAAATATATATTGTAAAGATGTTAAAATAAAATTTCAGTGAAGATGTATCATAGAAAGGTGACAATTGTCATAATCGTTATTTTTAAACTTTTGTCATAATCGTTATTTGTGAACTTTTTTGAATTTTTTTAAAGTAAATAGGTAAGAATATATATTGTATTGATGTTAAAATAAAACTTAAATGAATATGTACCATAGAAGAATGATAATCATAATCGTTATTTAAAATATTTTCGAATTTTTAAATGTGCTAACGGATCTTTGAAAAATTTTAACAATAGGAAGGCTAACAAACTTTTAACTTTTATTTTTCATTTAAAATTCATTAGATAAACATTAAAAAATATATGCTTATAAAAAAAATTTAAATACCAGATTATCGATAACTGTTTCGGATGTTATCGTCGGAAAAATTAATGAGTTAATAAAAATACTTGTAGGATTTGATTGCAATTATCGGGTCGAAGCATTTCGTCCTATAATTGATAAAATTATAAACATCAGAACTGTTTTTTTTCGGCGAAAAGAGAACTTATTTTGGATGTGTAATATTTACTTCCTACATTTTGATGAAAAAAATAGTAAAGGTATTTCTGAAAAGGCCTTGGAAAAACTTACACAATTGGCAATATCATCATTTAAATCGAATATTTTTTAATGCTTACTAAATTATGAAATTTTTAGTAAGGGTGAAACTAAATTATTTATTTTTTATTAGATGCTTAAAAAATTTGAAGAATGGGCATATTTAAATTTATATGGGGGGCGAGCGTGGTTTAAATTTTTTTATATGGTCAGGGCAAGACGAAAAGTCTATAAAAATTATTTAAATTTTTATTTCACATTTTTTTACACATGATTAAATATCGCTTCAATAACTAAAAATTCTGCATTCTTTATGATAAAAAAAATTTAAAGGAAGACGCATTTAATTTAATTCAATTTATTAATAAATAAACGTACACATAATATAAAAATATTTTTATTAAAATACGCGGAAATATATATATTTAAAAAATGTTAATATAATATCATTATAAAAGTTCTATGTCCCAGCAATCAATAGATAAACATTGCTTCAAAGTGATGGATGAAAGGCGGTTACGTTTTTTAGTCATGCCACCGCTTTGCTAAAGATTCTTTCGCGGCAACACTCGTAGTTTGCTGAGCCAAAAAGTCTCTGGCCATTAAAGACAAAGTTGGATATATTGAGCTGTTTTTTTGCCACCAATCGAGTACATTGGTTGTCGGACTAGCTACTTCCTCTTTTAAATATGTATCTATTTCATCTGTGGCATGTTGTGGAATTTCATAATTAGCCCTAAATAATAAAGACAATATATATATAACTATGTAATCCTATTTACCTTCTAAGTTTATTATGTATATGCACAGAATAAGGCATGGCTTCCATATCGGGCTCATTGTATTCGTACGCTGACGATCCTGACATTGTACTTTTATATTTAATATATAACGTTTCGAAATTTTTAAAATAATCAGGATTATTTATAAATTTAGGCAAAAAAATTTTCTTTATTTTTGGGTCTAACAAACACGATATATAATTTGAAAGAGTATTTATGTGTTTCATATATATCTTTGATTTTTTTAAAATAACACTAGCAGCATTTTTTAATGTTTCGTTTTCATGATTTTCACTAACATCTTCTAGTGTTTTGACAATTTCATCTATAAATAAAACTGCCGAACCAATTGTAGAATTTGTATCTGAGGATATTTCTTGAGTAATATTGAAGAATGGTTTAAAAAATATTTCAATATCTTTTAAAAATTTGGCCTCTTCATTATTTATAATAATTTGATTATCAGGAAGGCTGCCTTTCTTGCCTAAATCATTTACCACATTAATATTCTTTAAATATAAAATTAAATTTAAAAATGGTGTATGTTATTACTTTGTTAATTATGGAAATCATTAAGAATTTGGAATTCCATCTTGTGACGACATCAAGTGGTATACGAGTCCCATCTGATAATTCCATATATTCCTTCATAAATTTGGGGGAATTATGCAACTTTTTAACGAATTTTTTTTTTCCAATTTTTCATTCAGATATTCATTCCTGAGCTCACTATTATATTTAATATATGAGCCAGGCATCTAATGCTATATAGAGAATAACCGTATTTATCTATATAAAATTTTGTCATAATAGACACAGAGGAGAGGAAATTTTTTGCATTATCGATAGTAATGGACATTATTTTTTCTTGTATGCCAAAAGATTGGAGAGAGGATAAAAGATTATTTGATATTTCCTCGCCCGTATGTGGATGAGGTAAATCTATTAGATCAAGTAGGAAATTGACAAATTTCCAATTTTTGTCAATATAATGTATTGTTATAGAACAATAAGATATTGAGTTTATTCCGGTCCATATGTCCGTTGTAAGGCAGATTTTACTATTGACCTGTTTAAGGTCTTTAATAATTTTATTTTTAGATTTTTTATATAAATCTTTAACATAGCAGGCAGCCGTTTTCCTGCACCATATTCTCTCATTTTTAAATATAAAAAAGAAAATATCTCTGAAATATGGAGATTCTATTTTATTAAATGAGATGTTACATTTTATAATATATCTCATAATTAATTTATTCAATTTCGTATTTTCATGAGATACTAAATTTCTTATCCCCACTAATGAATGTCTTTTTTTGTTTTTGTTTTCCATTTTTAAATGCGAATGTGATTTAGAAATGTGCCTTTTTAAATTTGCTAAAAATATATTATAATCGTATATTAAATTTTAATAATACATACTTGAGGCTGTATTTAAACTATAATGTGTATTGCAGTATATACATTTTCGGCGAGATTTTGTCGGAGTCATCTTGAATACATTAGAAATATTTAACTTACTAGATGTAGATATATCTGAAATCTGTGATAAGTCACATATAATAGCATCTTGGCTAGTCAAAGGCTCTATCTATATATTATTTATACATAAAAAATATATTTTATCATTTGTGATTTATTGTTATTATAAAAAAAAGGATATATTATATTATATATTTTTAAATTGTTAAAATTTTATACTATCGAAATATATTACATCTGAATCTGTGTCAAACCCACGAATATTGATTCCTTCATTGTTTATGATTTCATAATTATTTTCTACTGCAATGTGAAAACTATCGGCCTTTTGATTCTATAAAATATTATGTATAGTTAATGTTGTTAATGTACTTATTGAGTTAATTTTTGGGCGAATAATCGACCCAAAATGACGTAAGAATTGATGCATACTTATAATGGATCGAGATCGATAGAATTAAAGATTCAAGTAAGAATTGAATAAATAGATTAGAAAAATGAGTATGACCATGGTCCACAATTTATTTCAAATGAATTTATTAAATGGTGTAAAAACAAAAACGTAAAACATTTAAAAAATACACAGTATCATCCAAGGAAATTTTAAGTATTTTTATATCAATGAACTCAGAATTAAAATCACAATCCAAAAAATCTAAGCATTTTTGGATAGAGAATTTAATTCTTAGTTCAATGATATAAAAATAATTAAAATTACGTTTAAAATGTGACGGGTAAATTCTCTCTTTATTTCAATAGTTGCTGATATAATATGTTATCAAAAGTTTATAGCAAATAATAAATTTTTTTATATGGTAAAATTAATAAAGGTAAAAAAATATAAAAATATAATTTGCGAAAGAGGGTAAGGGATAAAAGAATAGAAACTAGGAAAGAGAAGGGAGAGAGAGAGCATAGACATAGGAGATTATTCAATGGAAGAGATGAAACTTAGGTAGTTAGAGCGAATGATGGCGGTAGCAAGTCTTTGTCGTAAGAAAAGGGACTCTTTAGGCTGATCGGTTTTTTCCCGAATCCGTTTGCCTAATTCTTTAAAAAAACTTAGAGCTTTGCTACCGAAGGTGGTAAGAGTAGAGCAGGCGATAGGTATGAATAAGAAAGAGGGGTCTATGGAACTATATTTGATAGTTTTACGAGTTTCTGCTAGAGCGAGGGCATCGACGTTGTGGTTGGATGGTGCATTTGGGTCAATGCAGGTGAAGTCCCAGACTAGTATCTGGCCCCTTGACCAAGGAATCAAGGACATTCCATCAGGACGTTTTCCGTCGGATCTAAAGATGCCGGTCGGTTCAAGTCTTGATGGAATTCCTGCGGATTTGAGAGCGCGCAATATGATGTCATTGCAATTGGTGTGCCGTGGAAAACGGCCTCGGCAAAAGCGGCAATGGAGGCAATGTCTGCCCTTGCGATCGACGCTGGTTTCGCAATGTTTGCATTGGTACGGTAGAACAATTTCGCAATTGAGCCGTAATCCAATGGCAAATCTTAGCTCGTCAGCGGTCAGCAACAAGTCGAGTTTGTTGGAGGGTATAGTTTCCAGAAACTCGTAACCCGATCCTTGGTTTAATTGGTGAAAGACTGTGAGATCGTCGTCATGAAGGCTCGATTTTAGGTAAGCGACGGAGCCTTCGTTGAGTGGAGTATCCCAGTCTCTCTGTAAACAGGAGGAGGGTCGAGGAGTGTTTGGGACAACGGAATTGTCCCAAATGGTCTGGGCTTCAGCTAATAATGGGTCAGGAAAGTGAGAAAGCTGGCTAATGTGTGAGTCAGATGAGAGGCGGGAGGCGATGAATCCACTGATGGAAAGAGTTAGAGGTGAGCGTAAGCCGATGCCCCCGAGCTTGCATGGAAGTGATGCTTGTAGTCATGAATTATGGTTGAAGCGAAGATTAAGGATCTCTTCGGCAAGAGATTTGACGGAAGTTTCAAATGATTTTAGTGAGTCGGGAAATTTAAAGATTGAGGTGGATCGAAGAGCGTAAAGAATTTTAGGAATGTAGTAAAAGTTTTTGAGGAGAAAAAAAGCTTGATGGCGAGGGAGAAATTTAGAGATGTTTATGAAATGAAGTAAGCTAGATGATGCGTTAGTGAAGAAGTGATTAATGGATTGCAAGCCACCGACAGGTGAGCCGAGATGAGTGAGGGATGATAGCTCGGTTGTAAGGAAGTTATGGGTGAATGGGATGGAACAATGAAGTGGACAGATCTCGGTTTTTTGTTCGTTAAGTGAAAGTCCAATTGCGGCGGAATGTGTATTAATGATGGCGAGGGCCTTGGCGACCTCGTGAGGGGAGCCGCAGAATATTCCGTCGTCGATATACCAAGTGTGGAGTGGAAGATTGCAGTTGGTAGAAATGTTTTTGACCATTTCGTTGATTCCAATGCAGAAAAGTATCGAGCCTAGAGGATCGCCTTGATGGATCCCTTCAGATGATGAAAGTAAGTAGTTGTTGAATTGGAGATGAGATGGCTTGGAATAGCAGGAGTGGAAAAATTGGGAGAAGGTGGGAAATGAATGGTATATTTGTGGAAGAAAGTGGGAACGGCGGATGGAGTTGAAGGCGTTAGAGAAATCAATTTTGACGAGGATTTCGTCACTAGGGTTGGTTTGGAGATGGATGCGAGTAGCGTGTGTGGCTATTTCGCAACCGCCCTGGATGCCAATACCGAGTTGATGGGGTGCTAAAATTAAGGCTGCGTTGTCCTTAATTTTGGAAGCTATAAGTTTAGCAACGAGACGACGGAATACGGTCCCGATTGCTATCGGTCGGATGTCCTTGTTCGGCTTTTCGAGTGCGATTAATTTAGCGCCGAACAGGAGTGGCCTGATGGATTCGGGAACAGGTCCATGCGCTATTTTGTTGCAGAATGTTGTTAGATTCTGTAAAATAGGGACCTGGCTGACTATGAGGAGGGATGTAAGGTCCTAGAGGAAGATGGGGCGAAGCCCATCGTACCCGGGCGAGGAGTCGTGATGAAAGGATAGGATACTTTTGCGCACCTCGACGGGGGTAAAATTAGTGGGAAATATGTTGGGCGGAGGAGGAGGATGTATGAGGTCACCTCCAGAAGGGTGCTTAAGTTTAAGTTTGTTGTAGCTCTCCTCATTACTGGTTGCAATTGAGTCGTCAGATGCTAGTAAGCGGAGAGCAGATTTGATGTTTAGATTGTTTATTTTATTAGAAATTATCTTAGCCTTTAATTGGAGGCTGGAAAGTTTTTTAGAATTATGAGGAGAAAAAGTGGATGTGAGGGTGAGGGGGTGTATGGTTGCGTCTTTAATTTGTTGGGTTAAAGATTTGTGAATCTCAGGATTGGGAGGTTGGAGAGTCGTGAAAGAAAATGAAAAGAGTTTGAGCTAATGATCTAGAGAGGAAAAGTTATTTAATAGTGAATGAAGACAGGTAGAGAGAGCTTTGGCTACTTGTATTTTAGAGCCTTTGGGAATTCTAGAAATAATGGGAGGTTTGTCGGATTTTAGAAAGTTAATGATGTCGACGTGAGTGGTAGGTGGGAGGGAAATGAATGTGTCTGATGTGGTTGGTATGTGGGCGTTATTGGATGAGGTGGAAGTATAACTGTGAGTAGAAAAAATGGAGAGGGGATTTTGGAAGGGAGGGGAAGGACGCTTTTCAGACTCAGGACAAGCAATGCCTTTGGATTTGTGCT